CAAATCCTTGTTTGCTTGGGGAAAAATCAAGTTAGCATTATTTTTCTGTAGTAAACAATGTAATGATGAATTTTTGTAAGTGACAAACATAACGAAAACAGGCCATTTCACAGCAGAGTACAATAATAAGTCATCGTGTACGACTATCTTTATATATCTTCAGAGGATGAATAAACTTACTTCCTAGTACTGTATTTGTTTTTTTCGGAAAGTATGAATTCATATCTTACCAAACCTGACATGATGTGTTAAGTGTTGTCATGTTCAGGTACAAGTTGCAATTCTCAGCTTGCGCTAAGCCCATGCGTCTCCAACATCAATCAATTACTGGATTCAACAATAAAATCATTATATTCAAATAACGAACTAATAAAAACATATTTGGTTTAGTATCTTATCAAAACATTAAAATGGATTAGTTGTGGCGAAGCGTAGGCCTAATTTGTTTACAGAAATAAAATGAGGCATAACATAAATAAAACAAACACCTCGAGGGAAATTTCTAGTTAACGCCAATCCCGTGACTTTTAAATCACGTCAATTGCCACTTTCTCCTAAATAAAAGACCAAAGTAAACTGAGGGGACAGTTTTCTAAACATAATTACGGTTGATCGTTGTTTCATACATTAAAATCGAAAGTATGTCTCGGAGTTTATAGTTGGGACGTGACTGTACAAATGAAGGTTGGGAATGACACCTTACATAGGCGTTACAATCAGCACAATGGGCCCTGTCACAATACAGTAAACCATTGATAGAAATAAGATTCAATCCACCACTATAGGTCTTGGGTGTGTGGGCAATTCCAACTATGGCAAAATTAGGGTTAACCTGTAAGAATCCTCACAGGCAATATTGGAGATCAAAAGCCCTGTTAACTTTTCCTCCAATGTCTACTTTCACTCCCCCAAATCCGAGGTTTTTGCGTTCGTGGTACGTGCGAGCTGGACGCGGGGACTGCGGCGAACTTTCTCTCGCGACCATCAACAATACTGAATTACGTGATAAACCCACCTGTTGATTGGATTCAAATAATATTATTTTACAGATATGTTAGTAAAGGAACTGTATTGATGGCTTTAGAAGAGTCGACTCTACCAATGGCACAACCATAGTAGTCTCAACCTTGTCAGGATTGAAAATGTTAACAACGAAGCAGATTCAGAATTTTCAATAATTAATGAACAAATAAAATGACTAGATGGCAAAATTGTCTGCAGCCGACCTGCCGACCTAGATTTTAGGCCAGAAAATGTGGACATGACCTAAATTACAATCACTAGGCAAAACTATAAAGTAGTTTGTTTTTACAATATACTTTCTGATCCAACTTAACTTTGTATAATTAAGACAGTGAACTTAGAAATGTCATGTTTCAGTTTCGTCCAAGACTTGCTCAATACTTCCTACTAGTACTATGGTGAACAACATTCCGTTACGTTTTTTAGCGAATTTTAAATATAGGGAAGTAGCTATTACCGTAGGTGGCACGTTAAGACCTAGATACGGGTCCGATTTACTTAGTACTTATAAATTGGTTTGGCGAAACAGGAATATCGGATAATAAGAACAGAATGTTGTGGTATTAACATTTTTTTCAAAAATACAGTAGTTTGCAATCAAATTCTTAAATCATGGAAATTTCCAAATTCATTACAACCATCGTCTTGAGCTTGGTAGACAAATACAGTAGTTTTGTATATCGAAGAGTTTTTTTTAAAGTTGCAAAGGAAAATAAAAAAAATATATATATATTTTATTCTTATAAAGAAAAAGTAGTTTGCTTATTTATTGAACTATAACTTTGAAAATCAACTATAATAAATATAAAATAACTTTGAGTATGGATCAGCCAGATTCCGTCGTGGTATTGTGTTGTGTCGACGATGAAAGTAACAACGCAGTTTGCTCATTTACTGTATTTGAGCTACGGAGCAGTTTTCACTAGTGACTTGGTGAGGGCAGGCAATAAATATGAGGAGACAGTAGCCCGGCCTGATTGGCGATGCGACATGCTTTCTGCGCCGGGGGATCATCGGTCCGAGGAGAGTGGCAATTGGCATTGATCTTGAGTGAGGAGGAACACAATGGATCGCACACTTGCAGCAGTTGGTGGACACGATTCATGATGTTGCACTCCACTGGCCCTTCGCCCTTATTGTGATATGGCGAGACAGAATTCCAAAATATTGTGAATCAAACGCCAGTAGATTACTAAGTCGCAGGAGCCTCAGAAAGCTTTGAGCTACATATTGTCACATCTACATCTATGTGTCACCCGTTGTCCGCGACTCAAACGAATTCCATGTGCCTCTATGTGGAATTTGGTCTCTTAAATAGATCGACTTTAGGGTTTTAATTGTTTAGTTAGCCAATAAACCGGTTTACTTGGTGAGTTCTGTTATGTTGTGGTGGTACGGTCGTGTCACTCATCGCTCGACGCAGCAACGGTTATTATCATATTGAGACGTGGCAGTGCGGGGGCGGTGTTAATGAGATCGTGCCACGGGCCGAGGAGAGGAGATGTGACAACTACACAGCCGTCATCATGAGATACAGGGTGGTACACTGCTACAGCTGCTTTATGGTATATCCTGGGGTCGCGATGGAGGCGGAGACAGGTGCGCAAGGAATGTATGCCACTTTCTATCAACACAACACTATACTCTAAATATCGTTTATCAAACCGGTCTCCGTCTCAGGACTCTGCTGTCCGATGATGTCCTCCACAAGGGTAATTGAGCGAGTGCCGTTCTATTCTTTGCCGTGGGGGTCAAAACCGTCAGGTAGGCCCGAGTGCCGTTTGACTCTCCAGAGCGTAAGAGTGATTCAGGGGAGGGATATTAGTGCGAGGGGGTGTATTTGGCAGGATGTAATGGAGACCGGGTACAGTTTCTTAACATGGCTACCCTAATGTAGATTGAAAATGTCAATTTGATTAGTAAACATTTATTAATTTTTTTCATAATCAGCAAGTTAGGTTAGGTTATAATAGGTTCATTTCATCCCTAAAACAAGTTTTGCTCATCCTGCTCCCCTTGATCGATCTTTCCACCCCATACCCGTGGCACTGTGGAACCGGCCACTGATACCTGACTGGCACGGCACTCGCACCGCCAAGCCTCAGGCTGTAAAATGACCCTCTCAAAGTTTTTAGGTATACGGCACTCGGCCCTGCACTCCCTCTAAAATCCATCATGGTCCTTTACAACATGTATATCTTTGTGCCATGTTAATTTTTTGTGGTATAGGAAACACAGAGTATTAAAAAATATTGATTAAAAAAACTGCCACCATTTTGAAATGGAAAAAGATAATTCATTTCTGTTTTCGCCAAAATGTTTTTCTATTAAATACCTTTAAAATGGTGTATAACATAAAATAGGTTTACTTTTGAAATGGCCTTTACAGGACGACGCCACCCGTCCCTGTTGGACAGTAGTTATTGGTATGTATTAAAACAACAACACGATTTGTTTGTGATACAAATGTGAATTCTCTAAGCTTACATTAGGTTCATGCCCTAAGAACTACAGTTTATAGCTCGGACTAAACTTGAATCTTGATTCTAGTTCACCCTACCTCAAAGTAAACACTAGAGGGATAAATATTTCTAAAAATTCCCTCGTTACCTCGCAGAACCCGAGTGACAGTTTAGGTGTTTTACAACCCTGAGAAACTTATCCTTATAATCCTCTACAATGATCGTGGCGGTTCGGGTATCTTGGGACGCCCAAAGTAAGCATGATCTAAAGCTTGTTTAAATAAGCACCATACCCCTTCAGTCCTCTTTGTGTTAACGAGAGCTATGCAGTATGCATGGAGCTGCCAAGTAGTTCAGTCTCAATTATTCAAACAAAACCTTTCTTCTAATGTTCAACAAAAAATGTCAGCCAGTCAAATTTTTAATTCTCTATGTTGATGTATTCAGAATTTTATTTTTGTTCTCCTTATATGATTTTCCATACTAGTGACTCGAAATTAAGAATAAAATATTAGGTGTGTAATAAATTCCAGTAGTTCTTGTAACCCGATACAAATAATTGTTTTTTAGCGAATTTCCCATAGGGAATAAGCTATTACCGCAGGTCTCATGGTAAGACCTAGACTCGGGACCGATTTACTTTTTCGTTTTAAGGTCCCTAGAGGCAAAAAACATCATCCGTTCAAATTCATATAAGTATGTCCATTAGTGCAATAACTCGAGCAAAAATTATCCGAATTTTATGACATATTGTACAAAAGTGTAAACCTACATTTTATTCAAACGAGTTGGCAAACCAGCATAATTGGACTATGGGAACGGGGTTTTATGGGGTAAAAATTTATTGATTTTCCCCATTTTTTACCCTAAAAACACAAAATTTCATAATTTCTCCCCAAACTATTTTGTAGAGCTTAAAAAAATAATATAATGTTGTATGAAGTGTTAGTGTATGCCCAACGGTTACGGAGATATTACAAAAATTGTAAATTAAAAATTCCCATGTTATTCATATGGAGAATAAATAAACTGTTGTAGTTTGCTTGTTCATGGATATTTAAACCAAATTTGGAAATTCTTTTTAGTACTAAGCTATTGACATTGCAATAAAAAAACACACATCTCAATATCTTCCCTGCAAACCTAAGTACTCACTAAAGATTAATTAATGTTAATTAAATAGAAAAAAATCTGACAATTTTTAGGGAATATTTTAGTCGAAATCCAGACAGGTAACTGGAAATTTGCTTAGTCTGCAGGTTTTCTGCGGCGAGGGTATTTTTAAATAGAGAATAACTATGGAGGTTTAACAAACACATTGGATTACCAAAAACGTTTGATTACGTAAAATAATTTTATTGAATTCAAAACAAGAATACATTATGGGTTTTACAGATATTGTCCTTGGACCTAGCAGCACCTGATTACCTATAGGGTTGTATTATGCTCTACTCATTATTATTGAACAGTAAATGCTTTATTTACATGTCTATAATTAGTTTTGGTTTGTTCCAGGAGAGGGGTCTGAGTGAGGTATGTCTTCAGGGTATGGAGACAGAGCACACTATAGTAGCCTCCAGTTCTGCTCCTAACACTGTCACCCAGGTCGCTCCATTCCATTACCTCATCAGTGAACAGGCCAAGTCCATTGCTGCCTTACAGGTAATCACTAAACACTACAACATGTGTCATCTCACTAAAACAATTTACATTCAAATCAATGTCAAATTTTGTATGGTATATTTTCTTACGTGGATGCACATTCTTATTCATTAAGTAACATTCCATTTGTATTTACTGTCCTTAAAGTCAGTTTCCAAAAGCCTTTTTAACGTTTTCTCTAATACCTCAATCTGGATTTTGTCTATTCACCTTAAACACAGTTTATTTATTTATTAATACAATTTTCCTTTTAGTAGTTTTAGCGCACTTAAAGTTAACGCTAATTATGTGAGTTGCGTACAATACTTTGCGTACTCTCTCATTGTATAATTAATTAAATCGGCCTTAACAGCTGATAAATTGATGTTAGAAGCATTACATTTTTTGTTCCTTTTCTCTTAATCCTTGATCCTCATTGGTCGAAGTACTGTAAAGTAACAAAACAATGATGTTAGGTAAGTAAACAATACTGTTTAGTTGAGTGTATATTTTAAATTCTAAGAACTGTACTGCAACATGCTAGTTTAAAAAACGGTCTTAGGTAAATATTTTTTCCCACAACCGTTGTTTAAAGTAGCCAGTTCAGTTCAGTTCTTAGAATTAGTTTCACATAACAGCATTATTTACTTTTATACCAGCTTAGTTTTACTCATAACAATACGGGTAACGGGCCAATGAGGTTCAAGGATTGAGAGAGGAGAAGAAAAATTGTAATGATTTGAACTTCAACTTATCAGCTGTTCAGGTCAATTTAATTGTTGAGTGGCGCAATTAGTGTTTGGTACAATGTTTCGTTGCATCACTGTCAGTGGCAATGAGAGGTTATAAACGAAAACATAACCTCTCTTAGAAGTTATGAGTAGTGATTTTTAGTAATTAAAACACTATTGTAGTTAAAGTAGTGTACGCAACTCCCGTAGATAGTGTTAACGACACTATCTTTACGCAATCGTTGCGTAAACTACTATAACAATAGAAATATAAGGTGAAGATTTTATTTAAAGCATTATTTCTCTAGTTAAAGTTTAATATTTTTGTGTTGTCAGGACCTACAGAATGAAGTCACTGCACTGTTGGAGTTTCGGGACCTCGTCATGGAAACGTTCCCTCACCTACGATCCAAGGCAGAGCCCTCGGTGGTGGTGGCCCGGCCAGGTAAACGGGACTGGGAGCCAGGGATACGTGTGCGACGCAAGCTACGAGAGCAGGAAACCTCACTGGCACCTCGCAGCCGCAGTAACAGTCATGGCAACCGAGCCAGCAGCCACAGCAAGAGTGACAGTGGCCCTGTCAACAGTGGCAGCAGCACAGGCAGCAGCGCAGTTCAGGACAGTGGCTTCTGTACGGAGAGTAAGGAACATTGCTCTACATCAACGGCCAGCAAGAAGACGGACACTGACCAGGAGGCCGAGGACGAGCTGTGGACACTGCTAGAACTGATCCATCGCAAGGGCACCAAGCTGCGGCTGGAGGTGGAGCACTTGCAGGACAAGTACGACAAGAAGGATGAAGTGGACGTGTTGGAGAGGCGTGCAAAAAGTTTAGAAGATCTTAGAAAAGGGCGGGAACCGCCACGGACCAAGTGTGATGGGGTGTACCAAGTGGAAGTGGAAGGGTTGAGAAGGGAGAGGGATATGTTATTAGATAGAGTAACAGAAATGGAGGCTGAAAATCTGGCCAATCTTGCTCAAACCAACCAGTTACTGGCGGAGATGGGAGCCCTGAGTGCGGAGAAACGTGACTTAGAAGAGCAGCTTAGAGCTGCCATTAGCTCCAAAACAGAGTTAAACAGTAGGATCCACGATTTACATTTACAATTCATCAGTAGGTCAGATAATAAGGCTAGCAAAATCTTAGGAGATCATATTTTTAAAATCGATAATGTCATCCACGAGTCACCTTCTAGTCAGTTTGTTCCGGTAAAAAGGTCGTTGTCTAATGAAGAAGCGGTTTGTAACAGTGAAGAATCTCCTGTCTCTAAAGACCTTGGAAGACTGAAACAACGTGAGGAACACCCTAATAGGATCACAAGGACTAGTAAAGAATTGACTGTTTTAAAGGCGAGCGATTATACCGACTCGAATAACGGTTTTAAAATAGGCGACTCCCTAAAATTTTCTACTCCTAAACTAAATAGAGGTTTTGTGTTGAGTGGTAGTTCGAATAATTTGTGGGAAAGGTTGAGTGCGAGTGATTCAAAGTGTTTACATGTGCACAGCAAACTGGGAACACTGGACGGCATTGTCAGCTCTCCTTCCATCAAAATCAAAGGTGCCAAAGGTGTTCTTCCAGACAGAGACAAGACTGCAGCCATCCTGAAGGAGACGAATGTAGTGGAGCTCCAGCGCCATCTACTGACCACAACTCATGAAAACCAGGTAAGATTTTATGTACAACATTATTTGTGATAGAATATAAACTCCTTTTGTTTGAAAAAAATCTGTAAAAACACTGGCTTAAAAGTTTTTTTAACAGTTCATCAATGAATTGATGGCTCAAAAATCTATACAATTAATAGGCGAACATAAAGTTTGTCGGTTGAACTCCTCCGTCATTTCTTAACCGATTTTATCCATTGAAGTCTCATTGGAAAGGGTGTGTCGCGTAGATTTGCAAACTGGCCTTACATTTTTGAAAAATTCCCTTGGGCTCTGCCCCAGTGGCTTTGAAAGTTCCCATGTTATCCTTATGAACAACATAGTTGTTTACATTTTGATCAGCTGTATAATTTATTTGCTGTTATTTATTCTCCAATTCAACAAAACACTTTGGTTACATTTACTGATTTGGTTTAAATTAAATATTTACTACTTTAATTTACATTTGTACATATTACAATGTAAAAAATCGAGAAAGCCTGGTCAATTTGATATTTTACCAAAAAAGAAAAATGAGTTGACAGGGTACAGTATTTCTTTAGCAATCATTTAAAGAACTGATTTTTTAACCATGTAAACATAGGAAACTCATAGAACGCCACCAAGTAGAAGAAATAGAGACTTAAAAAAATCATTTATTATCGTTATCATCCTCAGGGTGGTCTGGACCTAGCGTTAAAAAATGTTTCGGGTGGTAGAGCAACACAAGTGTGATTAAAATCCACAATTTAAAAAAATATATTCCATACACCCACTTGCAGAAACATTATTTAGATTTTTTTTAGAAAAACCTGTACATTTACACAAAATTTTAAAATTTCTCTAGTATTTGCATACTTTTTTATAACTTTGACACCACCATCATATTCTCCATTAAATTCTATGTAAGAATAGACAGCTTTTGGTGAGCCCTAAGCTTCAGAATTGCTATTTAAATTGATTAGAACTAAGACATTTTGATTTTCAAAAAAAAGGTAAGTAATAAGCCTACAGACACTTTTTTTAAGAAAAATACTAGAGATTAGCAAATTGCTACAAAAACTGCTCTAAAATCTTAGCTTTTAAAAGATATGATGAGGCATTTAATTTGCTTCATTCTAAGTACAGCTATTCCAGTTATAACTGTGGAAAACATGGTTTAAGGAAAACAAAACCACACTTTAACAAACCAAAAAGACACACATGATAGTTTTTATTTTTATAGAAACAGCATGAGGCTGCAACAAAATTTGTATCTAGACAAGTCTAAAACAAGTTCCAAGTATTAGATTGATAGCCAAACTAAAATGCAAGTTCATTTTAATATATTTTCGAAATGTTCTCAATTCTCTCTGATGCAGGCTCTAGCTCTCTTCCGCAAAGAAATCCATGGGGTTCAGATCAGGAGATCTTGCAGGCCAGGGCACCGGTCCTCCTCGGCCTATCCACATGGGATGGTTAGCACTCAGTCAATCTCGAATGTCATTCGTAAAATGAGGAGGTCTTGTTGATAAATGATATCTTGACGGAGCACAGGATCAATTACATTCAAAATTTGAGGAAGATCGTGTTGCAAAAATTCAAGGTACATCTCTCCACTCAAACTTCCCTAAAAAATATGGGGACCTAAGAAGCAATCACCAATCACAGCTGCCAAAACGTTTATAGTAAATCTTTTTTGAAAGGAGTATTGAGGAGAGCATGGTGCTAGAGTAGATTTCTGTCGCTACCTCCTGAATTCTGACATTAAACAATACGACTTTTTCAAAAAGATTTTGTGCACAGATGAAGCTCTTTTTACAAAACAAGGTGTATTCAACTCCAGTGCCCTGGCCCGCTAGATCTTCTGATCTGAACCCCATGGATTTCATTTCGAAAGAGAGCTAGAGCCTGCATCAGAGAGAATGGAGGACATTTTGAAAATAAATTAAAATGAACTTGCATTTTAGTTCGGTTATCAATCCAATACTTGGAATTCGTTTTGAACTTGTCTAGATACAAATTTTGTTGCATCATGCTGTTTCTATAAAAATAAAAACTAAACCATCATATTCTCCATTAAATTCTATGTAAGAATAGACAGCTTTTGGTGAGCCCTAAGCTTCAGAATTGCTATTTAAATTGATTAGAACTAAGACATCAATGGGTTTTATGTGATATGAAAAAACATCCAAAAAAAAACCTTAATAAAACTTTCACTGAAGGATTTGCATTGTTCACATTTAAGGGAAACAAAAAACCATCTGAACAACGTTAGGCCTTTCAATCCTGAATTTTTTCAGCTAAATATAACTTACGTTATAACAGTAACTGGCCAAATTAATGCCAATTGAAGCAAATAAAATTGTGACAGAGAGGCTATGCAGAAGAGAGATCAGGCAGTTCTTAAGTAATGTAAACAAAATGTTATCGCTTTAAAAAATGACTGAAATTTGTAAACGTACTGGCAACAACGGGTAGTACTATATTATCAGACTACATTAATCATTGACAAAGATCAACATGGACAACCTAATGGGGCTATAAGTGGGAAAGATTTGTAGAATACACTAACAACCAGATCAGCTTTTGAAAAATGATTAAATATTTACAAGAAATGTTCATAATATGGAACTGTTAGGTACGTAATCTATGAGTTGAGTCTTTTAAACTCATCGGAAATTATGACTTTTACTCGTTTTTAAATAAGTTATTTGTTTTTAAATACTGTAACTACTTTACTTCTTTGCAATTGCTTGATTTTGAGCAACATGTTCACTAGTAAATTATATTTTCCCTTATGAGTCTGGTGTATTGAATCATATAAATCTACATTTCCCACTAGCTATGTATTTTTCCTGTCTTGTGTCAAGAATATTATGAGTGTAAATATATTTGCAAAGTATTCTCATAAATGATTTCAGTATGTTTTTGCAACTAACCAGACCATAAATAGCACACACTAAGGGGCGGTTTATTTGCTCGGACATTTGCACAGAGACACAGAGACATACACCAGCACAACACACGACATGCCGCCAATTTTTCCCTCCCACAACACCATCTGAGTCTGTACGAGCAGAAACCATCCTACAAAGTTGCTCTGTACTTTAACAACCTACCAGAGCACCTTAAGAGAGAACAACCCAATCTGTTCAAGAAGCACCTGACAACATGGCTTATGGACCGGCCGTTCTACTCTGTGGATGAATTCTCAAACAATAAGCTACTATGAAAAAAAGAAGAAAAAAAATGCTAATTGTAACTGCAAATGACTGTAATAGTTTATGTACATACTGTACATTTTTATGTACGTGACCCATGAATGTTCTGTAGGAATATTTCAATAAAGATTTTGTCTATTGTCTATTGCTCGTTTATTGTTTTCTTTTTTTAGAAAAAATAATGTTATATTCAAATTCGCCATTAAATTCCAAACAATTTCATTACCCTCAACATGATATTTATTTTTTACATTTTTTTACTACTGATTGTCGAAAACAAGCAAAACATCGTAAAAAGTTGCTGTTGAGATATTTTAATTAATTAATTACTAAATAAAAATATAACTAATAGCTTAACATTTTCATATAAATTTAAATTGCAATCGAATTTTATTATATAGCAATATAATATAATATAATATATAGCAATAGCAATCGAAGCTATATTACAATCACTTTCAAACAAAAACATTTACGTTTTATATTAGTATTGTTTACGTATGAAGGCATCCCGACTCCTATAATAACCAGTTGTTCCTCCAAATTTATTTTTTTAACAAATTACTGATACATAAAAGATAATCATAAATCTTTGAAAAGAGCAGTCATTTTATTAAATAATTTGAATGTTTGGATAAAACTTCAAACCTGATAAAGTATGTCTTATATTTGAACATAATTGGTAATCTAATTTTAGTTTGCAAAAAAACCAAGATTTGTTCAAACAATTTTCTTTTAAAAACATAATTGTATTTTCCCGATTCAATGATTAATTGAGTAACTTTAGTATGAAATGAATTTAAGTGCAAGTCCACAACCTTTTATACGACATCAGTAAACACCCTGTGTAATTATAATAATTTATGAACTAATCATTATGACGCAACGTCATCCTATTGTTTTGGGGCTTGTCGAGCAGCGGCCTGACAGGTAGCCCATGTGGCTGATGCCAACCTTCCAACGAAAATTCCCAGTTAATCCCTGCTGTTGAGCGACGGCCAGCGTTGGTCTCAGCTAAGCTTGATCTCGGCTAACGCTCTATGTCGTGAACCCATTTTTTGGCCGTCGGTTAAAATTGGTCGAGATCAACGATAACTGCGGGCCATGAAACCCCGTACTCGTGAACCGCCTTTAAGACTTCCAATTTGAACACAACTGTTCAAAATAATATTTGTAGCATAAAATATTTAATGTGCAATGCACAGCAAATATCTATCCGTGTGTGTTTATTTCTTTACTTGCTATTTTTTAAGAATCAATTTTAATGATAAAAAAATTTTGTTTGGCATAGCTTGTTTGGACCGGTTAAGAACCATATTTTGCATTGGTAAATTGATGACTGAATCCTCAAATAAACAGTATGTGAGCCTAATACATAGTCAACAATTAAATAGGAAGATTATTGTGAAAGTAAAATTGAAACAACAGCGTTGTCAAAAGGCAATGGAAAACTACCAAGGAGAAATTATAGCATGGTGGAAACTGGTGTTAACAGTGTTTGTGCAAATCACACTGTTGTGACAGTCAAGTGACAAGTGACAGCGTAATGTTAATTAACTACAGCTAGTGATCGCTCCCATGACAGCCTCTCACCCTAGTTTACATGTTCTGCAATGTCATATCGGAACCAGACAACCAGTAGTGACTCAACTTGGGAACCTATCACAGACTCATTACTATCGTGAAATAAGGATCCCCTCTCTAACCTGAAATGGTTCTGTATTGGAGAGTGTACAAGATCTTTAAACACTATTTCATACAAACTTTTGCTTAGGGGCAATATTAAGAAGAAAAGTCATTCCCAGTTGTCAAAGAATT